ATTTCCTATTCAAAGATTATAAAAAGAAACAAAACTGTATTTAAAGGATATTTTAACAAAAAATATATATATGCAACTCTATAATAGCACCTAAGCCTTAATGAACTGTATTTCAATCAAAAATATAATTATATAATTACCAAACTTTAGATGGCTGTACTTAACCATAAAATGTATAGTATACAGATGAATCAACAATCAAATTTTTTAGAAATCAGTCCAGTCCAACCAAAAATAGTTACAAAAATCAGTTAATTTTTTTGCTTTTGCAATACAACTAAATCAATGCTACAATGCTTTACAATTTTAAAATTATCATAAGAAATGTATTGGTTAAAACGAGAAATAGATCTTAATAATTTTATTGAAAATGTATAATATAGTCAATACATTATATGTTTAGAAAGCATACCAGGTAAAAATATTTGGGGTTTTCAGTAGGTAAATATAGGTACATTTATAGTTGATTACATTATATATTGTTATRGTAAAAACTTAAATTTGTAAAATGTTATTTCGGGTATATWATGTTATTATGTTTGATTCAAAGTTTACTTTTTTAGTACTACAATTTCATAAGCCCAAGATTATTGATGTAAATTTCTGAATAGTACCCATACATTTTCTGATATAAGATACTATTGCTGATATTTTTTACTAGTATTTTCGTTTGATTYAATTGTTTAATAATGGTTTAAAAAATTATAATTCAATGTATGATTTATAAGTTTTTTTTTTGCAAAAATGTCTGTAACATCATCAAGTTTAAATTGCAATTCGCAGTCATCTGCACTAACACCATTGTTAGAACATTCAAGCGTTCGTATATTAGATATCGATGCATTTTGAATTGTTTTCCAAATCTAACCACACGATGCTCATTTTATAACAAACGCGTTCCATGTATTTATGAATCAGAAATTCAGAATCATAAGTTATAATTTGTATTTATTTACATTTTTTACAATTTTAAATTCTAATTTTGGGTATTTTTTTATTCTATARATCATTTTAGGATTATTGAGGCTTTAGGTATAAAAAGTTTTGGAATCTAAAATTTGAATTCGAAATTTTATTTTATGATTTCTACAWGCTTTTACATATTTTTACATAAATTGAACAAATCATAGTAATTTACTGTACAGATCAATAATAATCT